GGGGGGGGGCGACGGTGGGGGGGGGGGGGAGGGGGAGGGAGCAGAGCTGTCAATCACCGGCGGGGAGGCGTCTGATAGGACCAGCTGCAGGTAAAGAGGCGGGAAAGGCCTGCCAATCTTACCCAGGACGGTTTGTGATTGGAGGGCTGGGGGAGGGAATGCGGGTCATACCCCCCCACCTACGCTAGAGTTCCCGACACACAGTGGGGCTTAGCATGAGTCCCAGCGTGTCTTGCTCCTGCCTGGGGAAAGCCGAGCTCCCAGCATGCACCGTTCTGTTCCTCAAGGTCCCAGCATGCACTGCTCTGCCCCTGAGGAAAACCAGGCTCTGCCATGTACTGGTCTGCCCCGCCCTGAAGTGAGCATGCATCACTCGGCCCCAGAGATAGCAAATCTTCCAGCACGCACACCTCAGCTCCTAAGTGAGCAAAGGTCCCACAATGCACTGCTCTGCCCCTGAGATGAGCCAGGCTTCCAGTATGCACTGCTTTGCCTCAGTGATAGCAGAGCTCCCACAATGCCCTGCTCTACCTGAGGTGAATCAGGTTCCCAGCATCCACTGCTCTGCCCCTAAGGTGAGTCAAACTCCCACAATGCACCTCTGCCCGAGGAGAACCCAGCTCCCAGCACGCACTGCTCAGCCCCAGAGCAAGCAGAGCTCCCAGCATGCACTGCTCATGGGCCCAGCCCCCAGGCGGGAGGTGCACCTGACTCCGCAGCCGAAGGGAACCTTGGTGTCTGAGCTCCTAGCACCCCTTGCTCCGACCCCCCAGACCCCTCCTGGAAAGTGGAGAGAGCCCAGCCCCATCTCACTGCAGGGACTGCAGGTCAGGAGTGAGGGGCACCGGCAGGGCTGAGTCCCCTGCAGCAGTGCAGGGTTCATGGGGGGCCAGCGGGGCCTTGATTACATTTCCATTTCCAGCTCCTAATGACACTTCCCGCTGGCGCCAACTCCACTAATTGCAGCCTTTTCATGAGGGATACCCAAGAGCGGGGGAGGGGACAGTGTGGGGGGAGTGGAGGGCTGGCAGATCCCCACCTCTACCCAATCCTGGCTTGGCAAAAGGGCTTAGGACCCCCGGCCCTGCCCCCCAGGCCCAAAACCAGGTGGGAGCAAGCACCTGAAGGTCATACCCCCCTACCTCTTTCTAGCCAGGCCCAACTATCTGCTGGGAACCAGGTGTCCACCCCCTGCCCCCCATGTCCCCTGCTCTCACCCACCAGGCCTGACCCTCACAAAAAGTCAGAGACCTGAGCTAAGGGGATGGAGGCCTCCATGATGCCCCCCCTTCCCCATGCTGGGTTGGGGCAGGGGGGTTCCAGCCCTGTAGCCATGGCAACGAGACAGGGCTCTGACTGGGGGGGGGCTAGGGCAGCCCTTGAGGCAGCGGGGGTCTGGGAACAGCCTGGCCCCCAGGTTCCATATTTATGGAGGGAGAAAGGGCAGGGTGGGGAGGGGGTGCCCAGCTGGGGGAAACCAAGGCAA